ATTTATTTATGCTCCTTCGTGTTCCAGAAAAGGATTTGAAGTAGTTTACCAAAGCACTCACAATACAGTGAGATAAAAATAGATAAACTGAAAGAGCAAAGGGAAAATAGGGGTAGAAAAATAAAACACAGCCAGGAAAACACTATTACAAGGAAACCTATGCTCAAAACCCCTGAACAGATCTGAGCTTCCTCAGGAACAAAAAAGTGGGAAGCATGATCATTTACAAGAGGTGCAGTAACCACAAGGTAAAAACATCAGCATGCCAGAAAAGGTCGCATAACTTATTTTGGCCCCAAAACCTGACAGATATTTCTTCTCATCAAGAAGATATGGGATGGAGGGGCCTACCTGGTGGCGCAAGGGGTTAAGCACAGCACTATGAAGCTACCCATAGCCACTGCAGCACGAGTTCGATCCCTGGCCAGGCCTCTACCCACATGGCGCAGCAGACCTCTCCTGTCTCTCCCGCTGCTCCCCTCAGCAGTGTGTTTCAGTCAGTCTGCCTGTTCTGTTCCCCACTCTGTCTCTGGTGAATCCTCTTACCCCTCCATACCTCTGGCCTGTGCCCCAGTTCTTGTATGCATAAATAAATAAATCTTTAAAAAAAAAAAAAAAAGAAGATATGGGATGGAAGGGTCAGCATATTCAACAATATTTAGACCCTGTCCTGTTGTTTTCATACTGTCACTTAAAATCTACTTCAGAGTCTCACTGGATTCATCCTTTAGTTATGACTTGATTTAATTTATGTGAAATGACCGCATACCAACTAAACAGCAAGCACAAACATTCTTTTCATCTATCTTGCTTTTCTTATTTTCTGGTAAAATGAGGTTGGGTCCAAGGAGTAGTACAGGAGTCCCCACTGAAGCATGGGACAAAAAAATGTGAACATTTTGGCTTAGCTGAAACATATAAAAATCACGAAGATATAAAACTGATCTGAGCAGGCCATAAAGACACCACTACCTTTGCCTCAGAACTTGGGTTATAATCTGCTGTCCTGGAACAAAATTCAAACATAAATCAGCCTCCACTGTGTTTTTAACAACCTAAAGAATTCTTCATTTTCTGCCTGAAATGCCTCTGACATAGGAGTCCATTCTCCCTGATTCTGGCTCTGAGAAGAGGCCCCCGGGGAGTGGTGGGAAGGCCTGATCTGTGCCCCAGGGGTCAGGCAAGCCCAGCATGGGGCAGGGTAGAAGAATGAACCCAAAATTCTCCATGGTCTCAATGGCCAATAAGTTAGGGCTGTAGCTAGCCTCTACGGTGCTCCTGTGCAAAGTTGAAAAGGACTCCCCTCTGGGCCCAGGAGGCATCTTGGGTTCCCACCAGGGTGCTGTCTCCACCATCTCCCCCTAACCCATTGCCATTTACCCTCCAGGACCCACAGCCCCCACAAAGCTGCCCAGTGCCCTCAACATTCTCTTTTTTTCCTGAGCTTCTAATGCATCAAGAGCTAAGTACCAGGCAGCTAGCATTTAATTATATGATGTCTGGTACTCACTATTTCATGCTTTTGGTTTGTGTTTCTAACTACATTGATGATTTCTTGAGGGTATGATTGGTTCTTATTTTATATTTAGGCCTTAGAGCCCTGAGGGTCTCTTATGTCTGTGTACTTTATAAATAACAAGGTCATTAAAAACAGAATCCTGGGGTGTCTGGTCCTTCTCAATGTGCACGTTTCACAGATAAGGAAACTGAGAGCCAAAGAGGCTTGACCTGCCCTAGGTCATACAGTGGAGAACCTGACCTAGACAGCAATGAACCCATTACCCCCGTCTGCCAATGCAGTGCCCTACTTCCCTTAAAGATTTAGCTCTAAAACTCCCAAATAGATGCTCACCGGATAAAAAAGACAGACAGACAGACAGACAGACAGACAGCCTACAATAATCCATCTGCACGTGGGCAGAGTTTTCAGTAAGAAACCAGAACAAGTTCCACTAAGCTTGGCAAACAGCCCCTGGGGAATCCAAGCCTGCCTTGTGTGTGTTGGGGGGTGGGGGAGGGTAGCAGGGGAAGCCAGAGAGGGAAGAAATGAAAGGATCTTGGCGGGTTACCTCAGTCTCCCCAACACCCACAGAGGTCATCACTGTCTGAGGTGTCTGGCCCCCAAATCACGCCTCTCCCAAGAGCAGAGCTGGGGTTGGAATCCAGGGTGGTCTCACTGAAAGTCCCGTTCGCTACAATCCACACAGGCTCTCAATCCAGCCCCATTTCAAGTATTTGTCCCATTATCAGCACTGTGGAACAATGTTTGGATTGGGAAATCCAAAACTCTTCAGGAAGAGAGATGACAGCTCACCCATCATTTCATGGGGAAATGAGGGAGAGAGACAAGGGAGCGACATGAGGCGCACCAAGATCTCGGCTGCTTTTTCTTGGTGCCAAACAAACAAATGTAGAATGAACTACTTATAAAAGAACACAGTGTTTTTCCTCCTCTTCTCACCTCCCCTGGGTTGGTGCCTGTGATAATTGGGAAGCACAGAATCTGGTTTTTCTGGGATTGGAACCAATGCTATGAAGTGTTCTGACAATAAATGCTGTTGATTGACAGTTGATGGACAATGTTCTTGAGTAAATTTTTCCTGTGCTGGATGTTAAGCTGCGAATTTCACTAAAAAACTGCTCAACAGCCTGCTTCCTGTTCAGATAGAATTTACTGCTCCTTCCCTCTGTGGGCCCCGTCAGGTGGCCGGGAGAGATGCTATCTCAGGTTCCCTCCAGCTCCATCATTCAGTGACTCTATCAAGAAGAGAACACAGATCTGAAAACATTTTTTTTCCCCTTAACACTGAGGTGGAGATATTATTCACACAGAAACACAGACTCCAACAGAGAGATAACTGGTCATCAGGAGCTTTGATTTTGGTCTTGTATTCTTTGACTCAGTAATTCCTCTTGTGTGACTTTCTCTTAAAGACAAAATTCGGAAGGACAGAGCTACGTGCATGAAGATATTTGATTTAGTGTTACTTGGAGGTAATGTCCAATCCAAGAATGAAATGTATTCACTTGATGACATGTCAGCCATCACAAATGATAAATTTCAGAAACATGGGAAAACATCTAAAACTGTTTTGTTTTTTTTAATTCGCAGTTCAACATCTTATAATTGGGTCATGAAATAATATAATAGACCTCTACTACCAACTATTTATTTAATGTACTGGACCAGAACAGAAAAGAATGCATCCCCAGGTGGTAAAATATTTTAGGAAATTTTGTTTACCTGGGCCATAACACAGACATTGTTATTGTTTTTGGTAAGATCACCACAAAAAAACAGGACCCTGTTGGGAGGACAGAGTCTGCAGCAAACTTTACAATGGAATTACCATAGTATTAAATACTGTATGTGAGGCCAAGACTGTAAGGGAATGCACAGAAATAAAGATCAGAACTGTATTAGGATTGTAGGATAAAGGATGCTCCTTTCCACTGATAGAAAACCTATCTGCCTGCTCTAGATAGGTTCTGTCATCGCTGCATGAAGACAAACCATGCTCTAGTGCATAAGACCTTTAACAGAAAGGAACTTTAATTAGTGTGCAAAAAAGAGAAAGGAAAGAAAGATAAACTAGTTTTCACATGAAACACCCAGTTCCATAGCCCCTTGTGGGTAAATGCCCAAACAGGGTTGGCCTAAAACAGGGCCACTGAGGCCCAAAGCCTGCCACAAGTCTAAGGCACCCTCTGGTGGGGACCCATAGGAAAGGGGCCGAAAACGGCCAGGCAAGTCTGAAAACAAAAGAGCTAAATCAAAATCAAGATAAACATTACCACTGCCAACCTCCCCATGGGTCTCACCCACGTCTGTTTCAGTGTCTCCCTCCAAGTCCCCAGTACAAGACGAAGGCCAAGAAGTAATGGCAGCTTCATCACCTCTCTCTGTTCCATGTGCCTGCTCCAGGTCTCCTTGCTCCTTCTTCCTCTTCCCCTCTCTGCTCAGCTCCATCCTCCCTTGGGTGAAGGCAGGAATCTGGAACAGCTCCTTTACCTGGGGACCTCCCTGTTACCTGACGTTTGTAAATTTTTTTTTTTTAATTTCATATATTTTTTACATCATTTTTCATTTTTGTACAATGTATGCATTTTCATCTTGGTTATAGTCCCCGTAAAATTCCCATCACCCTTGTTTTGATCCTACTCCCTTCTCTCCCCGCCTCCCCCCCCCCCCGCCCCCAGTCTGTCTCTGGTTTATAGTTGCCTGTTGATTTTGATTTTTACTTTATTATTTCTTAAAATGAAAAACAAGAACACAAAACAAAAAGGAGAATAACAACAGAAAGTCGTTAGCCTGGGCCTCCCTGGTGGTGCAAGGAGTTAAGACGCAACCTATGAAGCTAACCACAGCCACTGCAGCATGAGTTGGATCCCGGGCTGGCCAGGGAGCTACCCACATGGCGCAGCAGACCTCTCCTGTCTCACCTACCTGCTCCCCTCAGCAGTGTATTTCGGTCAGTCTGCCTGTTCTGTTTCCCATACTGTCTCTGGTGAATCTTCTCACCAACACTCACACACTCTTCTGGCCTGTTTGCATAAATAAATAATTTTTTAAAAAGTCAATAGCAGATCCTAAAGGGCCAAGGGGCTCAAGACGGGGCTTCCTGGAGGCCTTGCCGATTGGAAAGAACGCGACTGAGGGAAGAGGCTGGCCTAAAACTGAGTGGACTGTCACTAAAAGGGAGACGGGCACAGAAGATGGAGTTGGGGGGAGAAGGCTCTCAGGGATACGGAGTAATAATGATCTCGGTAGGAAAGGGGCCCCTCCACTCCTAGGCGGGTCGTCGTGCTCCAGCCCAACTTCGTCATCCCCTCCCCAAGCCTAGCCTGAGGCCTCCCAAGATAAATTGCCCCTCATAAACATGGCGGCGCCAACCTGGCCGAGCCCCTCAACAACATGGCGGCCGCCAGTAGCCCCACCTCCCGCCAAAGAGGCGACCAATGAGGGAGAAGCACGAGTGTTGCGCATGCGTGGTGCCATCTGGTGGGCACGTCCAGTAATGACTGGGGGATCCCAGCAAGTAATATGACTAAAAAGAAGCGGGAGAATCGGGGCGTCGCCCGTGAGGTGAGGGGAGAGGTGGGCGGGTGGGCCACATCGGCCGCGGGGTAGTGAGTCTGCCCGGCTGCAGGTTGGAGGAGGGGCGGAGGGGAGGAAGTCAGGGCGATGCGGCTTGGGCGAGGGACGCGAGGGTCGGGAGAGGGCCCGATGGGGTACCCCGAAGGTGAGAGGCAGGACAGGAGAATGGAATGTTGCAGCGCCTGAGGGGACCAGTAGAGGTAATAGCTAGAGATGAGGAGGCTTCCAGATGGGAAGCGAGATGGAGGTGAAAGGGCGCCCCAAAGAGGGTGTGACACAGAAGTGAGGGGCTTAAAGTCTGGGACAGTAACTAAGGAGGTCCTGAGGGAAGACATGTAAATGAAGCGTGCCCCAAAGGGGAAGGTGAGGGGAACCCCCAAAGGGTAGGGACCTGTAGATGAGGGCACCCCCCCAAAAGGTGAGGGAGCCCGTACCATTTAGTATATTCCTAGTGGCTTAAATATCCCCTGAGATGGGAAATTTTTCCTCTGGAGTACAAGCTTGTGGATTGGGAAAATTACTTTGAGAACCTGTAGGAATGGCTAAAGAAAATTCTAGTATGGTGATGTTTCCAATGAGCTTAAAATTTTTTTTAAAGATTTATTTATTTATACAAGAACTGGGGTACAGGCTAGATGTGCAGGAGGGTGAGGGGATTCACCAGAGACAGAGTGGGGAACAGAACAGGCAGATGGACCGAAATACACTGCTGCAGGGAGCAGCAGGCGTAGGCGGAGAGGTCTGCCGCGCCATATGGGTATCTCCCTGGCCAGTGGGGAATCGAACCAGCGCTCTAGAGGCTGTGGACAGCTTCACAGCACTGTGCTCAACCCGCTGCATCACCAGGGAGGCCCTGAGCTTAAAAAATTTTTTTCAAGTAGTGTTCTTTTTAAAAAAGATTTATTTTTTATTTATACAATAGCTGCATGTTACAGGCCAGAGGTGCAGGAGGGTGAGAGGATTCACCAGAGACAGAGTGGGGAGCGGAACAGGCAGACAGACCGAAAGCACTGCTGAGGGGAGCAGTGGGCACAACAGGAGAGGTCTGCCATGCTATGTGGGAATCTCCTTAGCCGGCCAGGAATCGAACCCGTGCTGCAGAGGCTGCTGCATGGAAGGGAAAGAAAAGTGCTGCATATTGGGCATCCATGCTATTTTACTTTCATTCACAGTTAACCCTCGCTACAGGCCTGTGAGAATTTTACAGGTGAGGAAACAGCTTTCAAAGTAGAGCCCAGGTTGAAGGAGCTCAGAATCAAGCACAGGTGATTTGCTTCTTCTAGTACCTCTGTTTCCTCTGTGTTAAAATTCCCTTAGAACTGTTGCAAGAGAAATACTTTGATAGTCTTCTTGGAGCTTACTACCTAGGTCAGTGGTTCTCAAACTTAAGAAAACATTAAGAAACATTTGTAGCACTAGTTTAAAAAGGAGAGTTGAGGGCCTCCCCAGTGGCGGTGGCGCAGGCGGTTGAACTCTGCACTGTGAAGCTGTTTGCAGCCTCTGCAGCGCGGGTTTGGTCCCAGCTGCTCCCCTCAGCAGTGTATTTAGTCAGTCTGCCTGTTCTGTTCCCCGCTCTGTGTCCGGTGAATCCTTTCACCCTCCCGCACCTCTGGCCTGTACCTCGGTTCTTGTATAAAAATAAATAAATCTTTAAAAAAAAAAAGAGAGAGTTGAATTCTCCCCCACCCAGAGTAACTTATTAGGATTTGGGTGAGCATTGGAACAAAGAATTTGCATTTTTAAAAAGATTTATTTGTGCATACAATAACTGGGGTGTAGGCCAGAGGTGCTGGGGCGGGAGGCTAGTAAGAAGATTCACCAGAGACAGAGTGGGGAGCAGAACAGGGGGATCTACTGAAATATACTGCTGAGGGGAGCAGTGGGTGAGACAGGAGAGGTCTGCTGTGCCATGTGGGTTAGCTCCCTGGCCAGAGATCAAACTCAGGCTGCAGTGACTGGCAATAGCTTGATAATGCTGAGAATTTAACCCCTATGCCACCAAGGAGGTCCCAGATTTGCATTTTTAACAAGCTACATATACCCATGCTGATGTAGGCTTTAGTACCATCCCTTAAGAAATATGGGTCTGCTTAGTAGGAAAAATAGGCTGATGAAAATGTTCTTAGAATAAAAATGGGGGTCTCCCTGGTGGTGCAGGGGTTAAAGACGGCGCTATAAAGCTATCACCTGCCACTGCAGCACAAGTTCGAGCCCCAGCCATGGAGCAACCCTCATGGCGCAGCAGATCTCTCCTGCCTCCCCAGCTGCTCCCCTCAGCAGTGTGTTTCAGTGGACCTCCTGTTCTGCTCCCCACTCTCTCTGCTGGATCCTCTCACCCCCCTGCACCTCTGACTTACACCCCAGTTCTTATATGCATAAATAAATAAATCTTTTGAAAAATAAAATAAAAATGGGTGAGAACACGGGAAAATAAGAAAGTCATTAGCTGATCCCAAAAGGCCCAGGGGCTAAAGATGGGGCTTTTAAAAGATAATAGTTCATAAGTGGTAAAATTATATGACATTATATAATAAGATTATAGACTTTGTATCCTGTATTAGGACATGAGAAGCTACTGTAACAGAGAAACTCCAGATTCAGTAGCTTCAAGAACAAGAAAGTTTTTTTCTAAAGGGCTAGAGGAAGCATCAGCAGATGTTGTCTGTAAAGGGTCAGATAGTAACTATTTTAAGGTTTGTCGGTCATATAATCTCTGTTGCAATCCCCATTATTCAAATTCTGTGTTTATGAATTTGCCAACTTGCCAAAATGTATTTGTAACCCCTAAGTCGGTACTCACCATGTTTTTGCAGTCATTCACAGACAGACCCAGAGCAGTGACAAATTTGAGTCACCACAGGCGCCATGTATCCAACTGAGGTCCTACGAGGCAGTGCTCTGCCTTCTTGTTTCAGCTGTCATAAATGTCCTTTTGGTGGTCTGTTTAGTGCCATATTTTTGCATTTTGATGCTTTTTGTTGGTGATTTTGCGTTTAAAATGGCCCCCAGGTGTAGTACTGAAATGCTGTCTAGTGTTCTTAAGTGCAAGAAGACAGTGTGCATTATCAAGAAAATGTGTGTTAGATAAGCTGTGCTCAGGCATGAATTATACTGTGGTTGGCATTGAATTCGGTATTAATGAATCAACAATAGATATTAAATAAGGTCTCTTTAAACAGAAACACTCACAAACAAGGGTTTGTATTGAACAGTTGATGAAAATGTGACCAGAGGCTTGCAGGAACCTTTCCTGCTTCAGTATTCAGTAATTCATTGTTGGCTGCAACTTTATAAAGCATAACTACCACGAATAACAAGAATCAGCTGTACGCAGGCTGTGTTAGCACAAAAGCAGCCGTTAACAGTAAGCAAATTAACGGACGTGGCTGTGTTCAATAAAATTTTATTTACAAAACAGGTGGTCGGCTGTATTTGCAAACCCTGGTTCAGAATACAGGACAGTGGTGGTTCTGCCCTATTCCTACCATCTTATGGATTTGCCATCCCCCCTCCTGTGCTCACCTCATGAATGAAACCAGGCCCAACCCCTTGATGAGTCCACTGGGAAGGAGAGTGGAGGAAGCACACCTGTTAGATCTTAAGGGTCCTGGGCATTTGCCCACTTTTCATGAACTTGAGGCGCTGAGAACTGCATTGACCAGCGAGAAGACTGCATGCCCTGCCCCAGCTCCGAGGAAGGGGCTTGTGTGTTTTAGTCTGCAGTCTCCACCTCGGAGCACAACGTACCTCGCAGCGTGGTTTTGAGGATTAACTGAGATGATACGTGTAGCCTGCCTACCCTAGAGTGAGTAATGGTGCTCGTATTAGTAGCCTTTGTCATTCTTTTTATCCTTCCATTTTGGCGAAGTCCGCCCTCTTGTTTGGACTTTGGTTTCCTGTCTGTAACTTGAAGGGGTTCAAGACTCACTGACAGTGGTTCAAATACAGATGGTAGCTGTCTTGCTTGGCTGACAAGAGTTTTACAAGGGTTTAGAATTTGGAAGCACATATGCTAATGTCTGCTACTGGTCACAGGTACCCATTTTTCTCACCCGTCGATACTGATATAAATATTTACCTCTGCTGTCCTTACGGCTACTTTTTCGCTTGGACATCTACGATGTGAGATCTATAACTGTGTGCCTTAGAAAAAGCTTGGCATCTGGCTGCCCTCCCCTCCCCCGCTTTGGTCCTCCATTGCCCCCAGCGGATCTGAGTATTGAATGTGCACTGATGCTCGGTAGCAGGAGATATTGTCCTCTTATTAAAAGTCGTGTGCGCAGAGCCAATGAAGTGGTGATTTAATCAAAAATGTTTGTTAATCTGACGAGTGCAATAAAACCCCCACAAGTGAGTGATCTCAGCACCTGCAAACAGTCTCCACTTGTAATGAAGCAATTACAAGCAGGCGGCACTCATCCTGAGGGCTGGCTCAAGCCAGCTGGAGCGGACAGGCACCTCCCAGGACAGCCCAGGCACCTCCGAGTCTCCCCGACTCCTCAGGGTTCCTCTCTTGACCTTTTCATCCGGCTCCTTTGCACTCTGTGAGCTCTCAGAGTTGGGGGGCGGGGAGGGATGGCTGTGAGTTTTAGTTTCTGAGAGTTAATTCGAGTGACTGAAGAGAATTATAATTGAGATATCAACAGCTCTGATGCTGCTTTTAACCTTGTGTGGGAGGAGGGAAAGGTGGTATTTCCGTCTAAACCGATAGGAGGGTTTTGGCTGAGGAAAAAGCTTTCATTTCATTGTAAACGGATGGGAGTTTGGCTGATGTATAAAAGCCCAACAGAAATGAGCTGTTACTTGGTGTTTTTATTTTCCTTTGACAGCGAGACCTTTCAACTTGGTGTCTTTAGATGTTGGTTTCAACAGTGTAGGGTAAAGAAAATATCAGGCTTTTCTGCCCTTCCGCCATCAGGATAGATGATGGATCCTTGTCCTGAATGCATGCCTGATGGTGGGCATCTGGAATAGGGTGTGGGCATAGG